CCGCCCCGGCCTGCAGCGCTGCCGTGAACCCGGCGCAGCGGCCCTGCACCTTGCCTCCCAGGCATTGGGAGCACACGGTTGCTTGTTGGCGTGCGCGCGCTCGCTGTCCTGGACAAGAGCTTTCTGTTTCAGCCCCAAACTGATCTATAAATACCTGAGTTCGCTGCCGCGCAGCCTGGCCTTCGAGGGGAATCGGCTGGCACAATCCCAAGTTAAGAACTGGCTAACGGTGCGCGCTGGGACCGCCGCCCTCCTTGCGCTTCCCAGCTCCCTGCCCCGGGAGCCCCCTGAGTCGGAGCAGAGGGAGGGGGACGGATGACGTCATGGAACTGTTGTAGGATTTAGCTCAGAAACCCGCCTGGGAGGCCGCAGAGGGCCTGTGTTCCATTTAAGCCGACAGTGTACCACTGTTGGCTCCACTTTCCTAAATGCTTTCCACCTTTCCAGAGACCTAAGCGGGCCTGGGGTTCTGAAGGAAATCAGTGTGTGATGTCTAGTTCAAGAACGCCGAGGACTGGGCATGCAGATATATATGGGTGTCAAGGCTTTGACTAGCATGGGTGCGGCCACAGAGTCATTAGAATGCTACCAGCAGGGTTTCAGGTAGTGGGAGAATGATTTCAGGCCGAAATATGCCTCATGGCACAGGCAATACTACTAACTGTAATAATAATGCAAAGGATTAGAGGGAATGTTACTGCCTTCCAGAGACTAATCAACCCCTAAAGTAGATGTTCATTCCCCCATCCCACCCCCATTTTACAAATGACAAATTAAAACCCAAAGAGGGTAAGGAACCAATGCAGGACCATGCAGCTGGCCAGTGAAGGAACTAATATTTAAACCCATATCTCTCCATCTCCAAGCCCAGGCAACCTCTTTCCAACATTGCATTGCCTCTTGGCTTTCAAATAGGTACATTCCAAGGGTGGGGGCATCTACTGTCCAATAGTCCCCAGGCTCCTCCCACCTCCTCTATTTTCAAGGAGATAATGGGAGAAGGAGGCAATTTTTCAAAAAGCAGAGTGAGGACTGTTTGCTCTTCCAGAGAGAGGTTAACTTAACCAAATTAAAGCTAACACTCATAGCTCATTATGACTGGAGATGGAAGGGACAGGGTACACTTAAAACTACAACAGGGAAGAAAGGTGACTTTGTGAAATCTATGTCCCAAGAACTGTGCTGTGCTAACGGTAAATATTTTTTTTTACAAAGCTGGCACAGAGGCAAGATATAATAATACTTATCTTCAACAATGATGTGCCGTGACTGCTCTAAGTACTCTACAAGACAGAGTAGTGGTGGGAAATGTCAGTTTTTTTAACAACAGCTGGAAGTTTAATTTTGCTATAAGTCTAGCATCAGCAAAAGTCTCAATTTGCCTCACTGACTTTCATCTCCAAAGTAGGATCTGGCATCTGACTGCTGGGGTCTGCATTCTAGCTTTGGCAGCTTGTAGAGTAGAAGTTGAGTAGTCATGAATAAGCCCTTTACCCCTGTGAGACCTTGTCAGTTGTGGGTAGTAAATATGCATCCTTTGTTGCACTCATGTGAGAATCCCAGGAGAGAATGTAGGTGAAGGACCAGCACAGTGCCCAAGCTTGAGCTGCAAATATTATTACTATTTCCTCTCAGAAGGGAGCGGGCATTTTGGCCAATAATGAATAAATTGAGGTGAAGTGGAACTAACAACAACCAACAGGGAAAGTGATGGTGTTGGGTAGGATACAAGAAGACAATGCTGGGCAAAGACCTGAGCAAAGCTCATTTCAGAGAGTTTGGAGAAAAGTAAAGTCTGACTCAGTGAGATTCTAGCCTAAATCCTTAAATAAGAATATGTGCATAAAGGATGAAATGATGGAAGACATTTCAAAATAAGCTACTAACAATTCATTAATTCTATTGAGAAGAAAAAGGAAAAGAGTGTAAAAAAGAATTACCCGACAGAAACATGGAGGCCTAGATTGAGCCTGTGCTTTCAGGGGACAGTACACATACACACAAAGGCAAGGGATGGGCATGTACCCAGGTCTGAATGCACAAAAGCCAGCTGAAGGTCAAGCACAGTGTTAGACAATGTTTGAAGCAAAAAGTTCATGGAAAGTATATGAGTTCTCTTATTCCTTTTCTAATAGGGGTTGTAGAGTAGTCAGGGAATACTTAGCACAACGTCTTATGTTTTAGTGGAAAGAACACAGAACTGAGGCCTGGAGACCAGGATACTAGTCTAGCTCCGCCAATAGTAATTTGGGTGACCACAGGCCAAGTCCCTTAACCATGCTGGGCCTTATTTATGAAAGATGGAGTATGTTCTCTTGGGTCCCTCTCATCTCAAAGTTCCATGATTCCACATTGAAATTAAAAGTGGACTGTTGACAGTTCAGTCTAGAGGATACAGCTCCAAAAGGACAGCCACAACCCTAGGGCTACTTAGTGCACAATGTATGGTGTGTTAAATTGACCAAAGAGAGAATGTAGTCCCTGTTCGTTTTTTGCCCTGTATACATGAATTAATGACTTAATCCCCAAATGATAGGAAAGCTTTTGCAAAGAGTCATAGAATGAAGATTTAAAATAAATTAGATGGACTAGACTAGGCCTGGGCTGAAAGCCAAATGAAATTAATTGACATAAATGTAAAGCCCTATGTCTAAGTTTGTGGGGGTGTTTTCAATATCTTTATAAGTTCAGGATAGGGAAGAGCTGGCTGAGAAGTAGGTGATGGGATCAGGGTTTGGGTGACGTAGATGACTACCCATTCAAGCTAAACTGATGCAGCCTTCATCTAGCTGCTAACAAAAGAGCTAGTGCAAATTTGACCATATGTACAAATAGGGAGAATGATAATGGGAGACATGTGTTGAGCCCTTACATAGGCTTCCCACATTATCTCATTTCTGGGGTATCATAGTGTCATAGGATCCCAACCCAAATAGTGCCATTGCCACTTGTGCCATTAGATCATGTCGTTGGTGTTGCTTTTAATACTGGGGGCCTTACAGAGTAGGAGAGTAACAAACTATAGTGTGTGCAAATCAGGGCAACAAGGATGGGGGATGTCTGAAAACCAAGTCCTACAGGAGGGTACTGAGAGAGTTGACAGTGCTCACCCCAGAAAAGGCACAACCAAATGGTGGTGCACGAGGGAGGAGAAGTACAGGAGTGGTTAAGACGTAGGCCCTTACTATCTGCCATCAAATTTGTGTACCTCCATTTGTAAGTTCTATTACTTTAAGCAAGTTACTTAACTGCTGCCTCAGTTTCCCCAAATGTAAAAAGGGAGTAGTCATAGTAACTAATATATAAGATTATTATAAAGGTAATAAATGAGATGTATATAAAAGCTCACCTGGCAGATGGCAATGCTTAATACATATGCACAATGATGATGATGATTTCATCATGCATCTGGTGAACTGTCCCCATGGAGGAGCAACAAGGGTCATTTTATCTAGCTTCAGAAGCGGGGAATAGGACTAATGGGCAGAAGCCACGAAGAAAGAGCATCTGGTTCAACATAAAGAGACCTTTCAAATAATCAGAATTTCACAATGAAGCAAGAGTTCATACTTACCAGAGGAGCTCACTCCATTCCATTTTATAATTGGTAAAACAATTCATGGGGATAAGGAACCATAAATTAAGAGCATCAAAGAAATCAGAAGGTAAACCAATGTGAATGGCAACAAGCCATACCTTTCTATTCCTCCTCTGTTGAGAAATCCCTAGAAGTTTGGATTTGTAGATAACCTTGAAGACCATGGATTTTAGTTGTATGCTTTTGATTTTTCCTGACTCACAATAGGCAAGATGAAAAGCTTGGACTTTGTAGTGAAATCCCCAAACTTAGAACCCCTGCTCTGTTATTTATTGGCTGTGCAACCTTAGCTCACTTCTCTGGGTCGAGTTTTTTCTTCTGTAAATGAAGTAAACTACCCACAATCCTCATGAACAAAAATCAGAGCTAATATATTTCTTGCTGCACTGGTAAACATTATGGCAAAGTGGTCTGACTTTATCTATATATGAGATAGGCAAATTCAAGCCTTCTGGCCTTTTGTACCTGGAGGGTAATACAGGTGGTGGAGATTGGATTTAAAAAAACAAACAAAAAAAAACTGTGCTACATCAGCAAGCACATATGCCAAAATTGCACTTAGGATACAGATGCAGAGACAGGCAAATTCTGAAAGCCTTCCAAGTCTTAAAGTCTACTTTCACAGGAGGGATAAAATAAGAGGTGGTAAATGAAACTTTTCTGTCATTATTGAGAATCTGTGTGTTAGGACTCAGCATACTATCAAATCTTCTCAATGGTTAGGGAAGGTCAGAATTGGTGATAAGTAGGCTGGGCTGGAGAACAGATTTGCAATTAATTGTCTTGTGAACCATCCCTAAAGCCTATAGAACATCACTGGAGCCATGTGCTGTCTTCCCAGAGCTGACCAAGGCTAGATCTCCCCCATCTCACTACAGTGGCCAAAAGCATTAGGGCCTGAACAACTTGGCCCAAGATTCAGCTTCTTACAGAAGCAGGCTGGTGGCTGCAGGCCAGTCACATCCTTCATAAGAGACCCCACCACACACACACACACACACACACACAGCCTTATATTGGAGTGCACTGAGTATGCTAACAGATGACCTTTTCTCTCTGCCCCTCCCCTCAGTGTGACGGGGTTGGGGTGGACCTGAGCAACATCTTCCTTGAAGGCATTGCCATTCTCAACATTCCAAGCATGTATGGTGGCACCAATCTCTGGGGAGAAACCAAGAAGAATCGGGCAGTGATCCAGGAAAGCAGAAAGGTTGTCACTGACCCCAAGGAACTGAAATTCTGCATCCAAGGTAAGTCAAGCATGAGGAAATCTGTTGTAGGTCAGTGCCCCGATGAGAGGGTATTCCGGTGGATGGTATTCATGCTCTGGGGATACGCTGACTCATCCTCCCTGATGTTGCAAAGTTTATAACCTAACTGAGAAGAGAAAATTAACAATGAAGAGCCCTTAATGACAGTCAGTAGTCAAGCTGTGGGACTCCATGAGATCAGGAGTCAAATGCTGCCCCTATCAAGGTTACAAGTGTCCTCCAATATTTATATCCAATAGTCATTCTCAATCTTGATCTCACTTCACCTGCCAGTGGCATTTGACCCAACCGATCACTCCCTCTTCCTGAAAATATGTGGCTTCTATGACTCCACATATGGTTTTTCTCCTAACTCATTGGTTACTCTTTCTCACTCTTTTGTTAATTCCTCATCTTCTCTCTAACCTCTTGATGCTGAAGGGTCACCAGCCCTCTTTTCTGTCTATATTCACTCCCTTGATGACCTCATCCAGTGGTGAGATTTTATTTAAATACCACATGAATGCCAATGACTCAGCACATCCAAAACGGAACTCCTGATGTCCCTCCCCCAAACCTTCTCCACCCACAGCCTTCTCCATCTCAGTTGATGATAACTGCAACCTGCCTATTGCTGGAGCTAAAATACTTGGCATCATCCTTGACTCCCTTTTTATTGCACATCTCACATCCAATTTATCAGAAAATCTGTTAGCTTTTAGCTTTACTTTTAAAAGTAAAGAATACACCTACTTCTCACCACTGCATTCCTACCACCTTGGTGTGAGCCACCATCCTTTGTCCCTGAGATCACTGCAAATTCTCCTAACTGAATTTCCTGCATGTGTCCCTGCCCTGTAGAGTATGTCCCACCACTGCATTAGAGTATCCCTGCAAAAAATATGTCAGATTATGCCACCCTCCTGCTCCAAATCCTGCAGTGACTCAGAATAAAAGCCAAATATCTTCCTTCATATGGCCTGGAGGGCCCCAGATGGCCTGGCCTCCTGTTACCTCTGAGACTTTATCTTCTGCTACTCTCCCCCTCACTCCCTCTGGCTTCTCACACACTGCAGGCTGCTTCCATGAACGGACTATTCTTTCTGACTGGAACAACCAGTTAGTGTGCCTTAGAAGCCATCAGTTGTGCCTTCCCCTTTTAACCTATCAGGTTTCTGAAAGCACCCTTAAAACTACCTTTACCTCTACCTCTTCCTAGCCATTTCTACCAAAGAACCAACTGGAGAATTAACAGAGCTCCTGGCAGCTCTGACTCCTCTGTGGATTGGAGGAAAGGTCCTCACTGATCCTCAGTGGTTCTCAATGGACTGGTGAGCTGGGGGAGGCATTGGCAAAGACATCACACCAGAAGGCAGGAGACTGGGTTCGAGTCCAAGTGCTGCCACTAACTCACTTTTGACATCTCTGTTTTCTTTGTTGCAAAACCTGTATCATGTGTAAAATTTTGATGGCTGAATGGATGGGGGTTGAACCAGATCATTAGTTCTTAAACCAGGCCTGCTTGTTATAAATGAAGATTCCTGAGCCGTAGCCCAGATCTACTTAATTAATCTCTGGTTCCTGGTAATGAGTTCCCCCGATGATTCTGATAAACTGCCAGGTTTGAGAGCCACTGACATAGACAAGTGTCCATGAATCCAGGTCTGTCCCAAGCTATTAGTGCTAAGATTGGATGTAATCCCACCAGTAGAAGGAGACAGAGCTTGGGTAACCATCAAAGGGAAGGGTTACTTGCTTGTTTTGAACCCATCTATTAGACAACCAGATTGTTATATCCCAAGGCGAGATCATCTCCACACCTCCATCCTCTAAGAGAGGACTCAGGAATTTTTATCTGTTGCCCTCTTAAGTCCCCTTTATTTCACACAGAAAACTTTCCAATTTGTGTAAATTATTAAATTGAATAATGTGTTCCTCCTTCCTCCCTTGGCAAGGGAAGTTGTGGGTGCTAGTAGAGGGTGGGGGAAGCACTGGAGATTGTACAAAGTTCCTGGAAACTTTCCTGCCCTGGTGCTCCTACCCCAACCCCCACTTAGGCATACAGCCCCATTAGAACAGGATCAGAAGAGACTACTCCTCTCCCCAACCCAGGGGCTTTGACAAGCTCTTGCTGAACATATGTTTAGGTTAAGACTCAAGGAACATCTTCCCCTTACATATCTGACCTTACATATCTTACCATGTATCTTCCCCTTCAAGCAAGAGTAATGTGTCTGCTGATCTCTCTTGACCATCATGTACAGGAACTGTCTTCCCCAAATCCCCCTTTCCCAGAATGTGCTTTCAGAGCTAAAACTGAAGCTACTTCCTGTTCTTTGGAGGAGGTCATGAGCTAATCAGAGCAGAGGCAGAGAAGGGGCCCTGGCTTCTGGGCTTTGCAAAGACACTAACATTGAGCTTTCTTTTTGAATAGGTCATGATCTCATGTAAGTTGAGATGTTAATGGAGAAAAGCTAAAGAGACAACCTATTTAGTGGAAAAACATAGGCCTAGGAGCCAAGAGACCAGGGTTCCAGTTCAGATTGCTTCTCATTAGTGTGTGACGTTGGGCAAGTCCTTTCACATTCTTGAATTTCAATTTTCATTATCTGTAGAGTAGATGAGGCTGACAATCATATAAGTTTCTATAGATTATATGTTCTTTTTTTATGTTTTAAAATGTTTAATATAAGAATTGAAAGGAAAACAGGCTATTTGGAATGAATTAAGCTAGGAATATTATTTTTTCCCATTTTTTTTATTATTAGTTAAGGTATTACAAATATGTCCTTATCCCCTCCCCCCCCATTTAACCTCAACCTCCCCCCGCACACACACTCATGCTCCCATCCCCCTGTTGTCCATGTCCATTGGTTTGGCTTATATACATGTATACAAGTCCTTCGGTTGATCTCTTCCCCTTACCCCCGCCCTCCCCTCC